GGGATCGTATAAAGGCTGTTAAGATGCTGGTCAACATGCGCAGTAATGGATTATTGAGTTTTATTGATTTTTCGAGCGTGAGCCAATAGAGCACATGCTTGCGAGAGCGGTGCATTGTCTGACCTGCCCTGTGAAGGCATTCACTACGCTGACAGTCATGTCACCGCGGCGACTTTTCGGCGCCATCTTACTCCTTTTTATCATCTCTACCGCAAGCCTTAAGCGCAATCCTTCCGAAGGTGATAGATTCAATCACCCAAGAGGTGACTTTGCACGCTCTACCGGTGTCACCAACTTCCGTCCACATTTCAACAACTTTGGAGAGCATGGTGTGGCAAGAAACGGAAGTACGCAGAGGTCTCCTGATCCCAGCTTCCACCGAGGCATCAAATCAGGTATCGGAGACCACACACATCGAGAGCCTGCGGGTAAACTGTCCGGAGACACAAACACAAACAAATGGCAGTACAAGAAATTCAATCGCGAGTCTACAGACAAACCAGTAGTCAAGAGGGCTGCCTTTGCGTGGCCAGAACGACAACCATTCGATTTGAGGATGGAACGAAGACTGCATCCACACCCGCACTTTGGACATTTCAGAAACGAAGCAATTTACCGCTTTCGAGGCCCTGCATTTCATGCCTTTGAGGCCGATCGAATGAGGCCTGATGTCCGCGGCGGGGGTCCATTCGAGGAGGCGCAAATCTGGAAATGGCACCTAGGCTTCCGTGGTCCTGAAACCGGTAGGGAAATGAGGAAAATACCTGTAAAGGGCGAAAAAGACGAAGTAGAAGAAGGAAGAGTTCAAGAACCAGTGGAGAGGGAAGAAGAGCGGGAAAGCGTTCAAAGGGATGTTGAAGGAAGTCGCACTTGGGAGGAGTCCCGGGAACCCAGGGGTGACAGTCCGGCACCATCGCATGAGGATCGGGCAGATGAGCGGTCCCAAGAACATTACAGCAAACCGTTGCATTCCTGGTAAGTAAATTACGTTAGAACTGGCATTGTTTGAAATGGAAATTTGTGTTAAATTACATGGGCTTAATAATAAGGTCCTAGAAAATGCGCGTCTTTCGTTGCTGTACGGTGCGATGCTCCCACCCCAGTGTTATCTTCTTAACCCTCGACATAGTAACTCCAGTCACTAACTTGAAATAAAACATTCCGGAGACTTATTAAAACAAACATAAAGTAAAACGTCTAAGAATTCCCTGTATACGTTGAGTATGTTTAAAATGCTTCCTACACGTCATTCTCTCCGGATAAAGGCATAAAAAAGTAAGGGTTGAAATATTGTATTATATGCTAATTTGTTGGAACCATGCATGGTCTACCAGTGGAGGCTATTGGATATATACGTATATATTCACTCAGGAATGTCCGAAAACCGATCCAATTGGCTTTCGTACTAAACAAAGTTCACGTGGTGGCTAGGAGTCTCAAAACGGGTGACCTTCTGCCAGGCCGATGCCGACCTAGTCATAATAGCAGAGAGGGATGACAGCTTTCGATGTTACTTGATACAGAACTGCTTCAGGCTTATTTGCCTCCATTCAGCCAAGCATAACCCTGAACACCATCTGGATCAGACAACATAAACATACGCCCGCATAGATGGTACAGATAGTCTACCACTGGGGTCTACCAGATGGGTCATAAATGCTTCATCGAACCCAATGCATCATCGCACTGGTTCATTGCGTTCCCGAGGAAAACACACTTCATATAGGTAAAAAGGGACACGATCAAGCAACCATCTGCCAGACCGAAGCCAACTAAGTAATAATAACAGAGAGGAACGGCAGGGTTTGGGATATCTTGATGTAGAACTGTTTCTGGCTTATTTTCCTTCATTCAGTCATATGAAGTTTGTTTACTTTATGATGCCAAGGGATCGGTGTGAGTTTATTACCGTGTGAAAATATATGTGAAAAATGTGAAGCCCCAGAAGTACATTTTAGTCGAAGAAGTTCTTTGGGAAAGGCAGGAAAGTTTATTGTGAATTTTCACAACAATGGCTTACCGGGTCGTCGTCAGCCAGGCGGGAGTTGCCCACGGCAAACACTTAAAGTGCATTGCTCGATTATCAAATCGGCGAGAAAACAAAGAACCCGTGGCATGATGGTAGTGTTGAACGCAACAACGAAAATTCCCGGATTAAAATCCCAGGAGATCCACACTTGGGATGGTAGACTGCTGACGACCAATAAGCCAGAAATGGTCACTCCGGTCCCCCTTGTCTTTATCGCTCCCATTTTATATCCAAATATATAGAATGGTAAATAGGCGCTCAGCAATCAGTACCGAAGTCACCTGTTCGGTTGTGGTGCGCACTGGGACGCGATATCGAGCCAACCAGCAGCTGTTTAACCGCAAACAGGCAGATAACAGTGCCAGCAAAGACAAGGGACATTAGAAAGCTAATTTTTGGCTTATCATTCTTCATCAGCCAACCACTCCCAACCCCAGAGGTAGCCAACCCCTAGATTCGAATCCAAGACCTTGTTACTTAAAAGTCCAACGCTCTAACCATTGATTCATTTCTGCCTATGCTAGTTGCGCAGCTTCTGCTGATGGACTCGAGATCGGGTCGCAAGGAACATGACAATGCAAAGTGTGAGTTCCGTACCGATAGGTGAGCGCCGATCTACAATTTTGCGCGTCCGAACTCGAAACCTTTAAGACAACGAGCTCAGTGGTTAGAATGTTTGACTTTTTACTAGCAGGGTCGCGGGTTTGAACCTCAGGGATGGCTACCCCTGGACTGCAATGCCTCCTTTGTAGTATGGCCTTTAGAGCGCTCTAGCGCACGCGGAAGCCTACCTAGCAAGGGGGTGTTGATGTGGCGCGTCCTGGAGTGTGTTCGCGCACACCGCCTGCGACCTCCCTACCTCCGGTCTCCTTGACCATCGCCTT